AACCGTTGTTTCCTTGTCATTTGGCGCAGTTGCTATTTCTTTCTCTGTTGGTGCAGCTGTTGCTTCCTCAGTAGGTTCTGCTGTTTTTACCTCTTGAGTCGGTGCAGCTGTTGTTTGTTCTTCAATGATTGCGGCTGTTGTTTGTTTTTTAGCCAATGCATTTGTCTTTTGTTTTTCGGTTGGTGGAGATGTTGTAACTTTCTCAGTTGGTGCAGCTGTTGTTTGTTCTTCAGTAGGAGCAGCTCTGGTATCCTTCTCTGTCGGTGCAGCTGTTGTTGCTTCCTTAGTTGGCGCAACTGTTGTTTTTTCTTCAGTTGTAGTGTGCTTAACGTCCGTGATATCTAATACGTTTCCGTCTATTGTAGGCTCGGTTGGTTCTGCTCCATTCCCCACGTTGTCAATGATATCATCTGTGGCCAGGTTAACTTCTGTTTTCGAATTTTTTGATTTTGGCTCGCTTGTTTGAGTTACTAGGGGAATTTTGGTTGTTTCTTTCCTTGTGGAGGGCTCTCTTACGGGAGAAGTAGTTGGCTCAACATCGATGATATCTATAATTTCCGCTGTGCCTGGCTCAGAGAGATCTTCCCCATTTTCCAAGCTGTCACTTATGTCGTCGGTGACTTTCTGCGCTTGCTTGGGTGGTGGTGTTTCGCTAACTATCACTGTGTTGATTGGTGTGGGAAGAAGTGGAGTTTTACTCTCAGAGTTGTTTACTGGTGCAGAAGTTATGACTTCAATTCCTACACCACTGGAATCGTCTTGAACGGGAGAGTAACCAACTAACATTCCCTCTGCAAAAAAAAAAAAATGTAGAAGGAATAGTAAAGTGCTCCTTGTCACAGATTAACCTACCTATGTCCTAAGTTCTAAGTTACCACAGAGTCTCTGTGGCACAGCAGTGAAATATTAGAGCACAGAAACTGAAGGTCTGAAGTTCGACTCGTTATGGGGACTCTTCGTCCCACGCGCACGAATGGACGAGACTACAGAGCTTACTGAACTATTTACTCGCACGAAGCTTTCTAAGCAGTACGCGGAACGCATGTCAAAGTAATGCCCCAGGTGTTTCCAAGTGTTTACGGAACCAATATTGGAAAAAAAGATTGCGTATGATACAGAAGAATTATAAAGTACTGAAAGGCGCACACATCAAAAAAATTCCTAAGCGGCGAAGGAGCAACGTCATTGACTTGGCCAGAAATGTCATGAGCGTAATAAATGAGTTCTAAGGTATCAGGGCCTTGTTGTACTTTATCCCCCCTCAGTTCCCATTCCTCCAACACTCGTCCCCCTCCCCCGCCTTTGAGACACGCGAGGTTATGAAAAACTCTGAATAAAGCTGATATCGATAAATGTGACAATGGAGGTTGACAACAAGATCAATTGTAACACGCATCTTACCGTTATAAACAGGTTCTAGCTCCGGTTGATTTAGCAGGTCATCCTCTGCGATGAATTCTGGAATCCTTGGAAATGCCCTTTCCTCCTGCAAAAGTAGCGATGTTTATACAAGTTTTCGTGAGTACGACAGTAAAATGAATGAATTTAACCCTTTACTCCCAGGAATTATCAACAGGTAACTTCTCCCTACAATATCCATAAATTATCCAGCAAAAAGGCTATAGGAATACTCAAACTTATCAGGTAGAAATTGTTACCTTGATCGAACACCAAATTCTCGTAACTAATTTACAAGGAAATGTGTAACGACAAGAGGGGAGAATCAGCCATTAGATCATGGGAGTCAAAGGCTTAATTAACTAGTTTTAATATTCGTCTCTCTAACGAGGGCGTTCTTTTACTTCACGTAAGTCGCTAAGATTTTTGTGATGAGAATTTTTTTCTTTGTCAAAGTTGAAGAGAGCTGAGAGCTGATCTTACAAGTACCCAGGTAGTCTCTGTATTTGCTAATCTTAAAATGCCTTCTGAAAATCGCATTTGAATTATATTGATATTTAATATTTATCTAATAGAACATTTCATATTCGCCTGTGAGTGCGAATTTATTTTTTCCTGTCGATTACATCTCTCATTTCGTATCATCATCGCTCAGAGACAAAATTTCGTATTTACGCGCGGCCATGATATCCTATCTACCTCAATACTATATATTGATAAATTTAGGTGCACGCGTGTGCCTGTTTTTCGGTGCCAGATACTAGCTAGCTATCAGGAGACTCTCCACCTTATCTTTGTGAGTTATATCAAACGAGCAATTCCCTTTTTCGGAAACTTAGCTTTATTGCTACGGAGAGAAGAAAAGCTCGACCTTACTGCGACCAAAACTTGTCAACGACATTTGTAAAGGAGAACTTGTTTACCGAGTACAATTCAATTTTAAATAATTTGATCTAAATGAAAAAAATCTCGTCCGAGACAACTTGAGCTTTTCCTTGAAAGCCAGCGACTTCACGGGCTAAAATCTATAGCTAAGGATATGCATGTTTTAGGCCCCATTTATATGGTCTCAGGTACCCGAGACAAACCTCCCCCGAGATAACTTTACGGAGCGTTTATATGCAATTTGACACCTGCTAACCCTCGTTCAGCCAGGCCAAGTCGAAAAAGTGGCGAACGACAGAAAAGAATGGCTATAAAACGCACGGGCTCTGGTTAAAGCGTGCGCACGCATTCTCTATTGGAGTTGTCTCATCTCGAGTCGGCGAGACAAGATGTTTACATGTGAAAAAGTTGTCCCGCTTGCCAGGGTTACCCTACCTGTCAAGGTGAGAAAACTAGCCTTCCAAGTTGTCTCGCCTATCCGAGACGAGGTCACAACCTCATGTAAACGTTGGGCTGAATTTATAAAAAAAATAAGTGAAAATTGAATGAGGTAGGGTAACCCTGGCAGGCAGAACAACTTTTTTTTTTCTTATTTTCTTATTTCATACAAACGCTCCAAAACGTTGTCTCGGGGTGGTTGTCGCGAGTACCCGAGACCATATAAATAGGGCCTAAGTTCAAAAACAAAAACTTTTAAGTTTCTTTTCCTGAAATCTTTATATTTTGAATTTCAAAGTTATCGATGTCTCGATCATTTGGGGTAAACACGATAAGTAAACATCAAGTTTCCCAAACAGGACTCCCGCAATTCCGAGAAACCAGAAACATGTCATAAGGAACCCTTAACAGGTCCAAGTTGAATTAAAACTTCCAAGCTGATTACTGGAGTTACCTAAATGTCCCTTTTGAATAATCTTAGCGCAAACAGCAAACAGAAAATCCCTCGCTTCCAGGAAGCTTGCAGGAGCGCAATCGTTAAAATTTGAGATGGGTCTGGGTCCGATCTCCGTTCGCACTCACCTGGTACTTTTTCACTTCCCCCTCACTCCAACCTTTTCACGGCAGCCACACAGGTCACTCCCAGGGGAGGGGGGGACAGGAGGAGAAAGTACCAGAGCACAGAGGTATGGGATTGCACGAAAACGCTTGAAATACTAATTTGCATCTCGCAGATAACAAAAGATCATATTCAAGTGAGGCCTCTATCTTTCAAGAACGGGATTAACATTCTGCAATCACGCATCTGAGCGGACACATGACATTTTCATAGGATAGCACCAAAATTCAAATTTGCATTCTCCGACAACGTTTAGAATTTTTCCGCGTAGTTATAGTAAGGGTTACTTCAACTAGACCAAGGCACTTTTTTTTTTCGTGCCACGTACAGTTTGCAATGCCGTGGTGCGCAGACATGTTTCGTCTGTGTGAATGAGACGCAACCGTCGAATGATAACATTCGTTACAAATCCGTTAATTAAGCCAAACCCAGAGTGTTATTTACACTTCACTGTTGACATAAATATCATAAATTCATTTCTCTTCGCCTTAATGACGAGAAGATGCCTGCACGCCAAAACAAACAGTCTGCAATCGCTTAGACCTTCGATTATCGCAAGCTGCGTGCGGACAAGTTTATGGAATAACTCGCAATCAGCTCTGGACATTTTCAACCAAAATCTGTTTTAGAGATTTCCTTAGGTGGTCGACAATTTTAACAAAGAACATCAGATTTAATGGGCGCAGTTTTTCGCGCGACAGAAAAATATGCAGACATCCTGTTCCCTAAAATAAATGACTAATTTACTAGGAGCTTGCTCAAGAAAAGAAACCTTGCGGAATGTTTTATAAATGTTTTCTTTTTTCAAAAGGCTTGACATTCCGGAAAGAACTCTGACACTCTCACTGGCCTGTTCTTAAAAAAACAGCGGTTTTCGCAAGTCTGCAGAAAAAGTTTCCTGTTAACTTAAGCTGCTTTTTCAACATTTTTAAAGCATTTCCCCTTTGATCTCTGAGGAACATCTTCGATCGTGTTCCCACGATGTGGAATATTTTCAGGTATTTAAACGTGAAACCTGGTTAAATGTTCGTAATACGCTCGTATGATGAAGAAATAAGGAAAAATCAAGACATCCGAAATTTCGACTCCCTAAGGTCCGACCTGGAAATATTCTGTTGTCGGCTCACGTTTGTGAGGGTTTCAGATTTAGCGGAGCGTTTGATTGTTGGTTTTTCGCCATGTTTGGCGTTAGTAAACTACTTTTCCTCTTGAGAAAGATATTCACCGGAAAGTATCCCCCCAGGACGAACGATGTTTTCCTTTAAGGCTGTTTGAACTTCTTCAAATCCATTTTCTTTGGGCTTAACCTGTCTGGTATCTTATTGCGTTAGTGCTTTGTCGCAGAATGAATGTGCTATAAAATCACACCACTCCAGCTGAGTTGTGAAGTAGGCGTTTTTCCTCTAAAGACAGTTTTTGGCCCCGCCAAACAACGCAATTTCCGGTGCGAGAGTACTTTGTTTGAGAAAGTCGAGAACCAAAGGTTGTTATTTCTCAATGTTGCTTACAGATACGAACGCGATTTACTTTGAACACCGACAGTCAGCAATCCTTGGTTTCGGAAGTCGCATGATAACTACCTTTTAAAAGTTGTGGTGTGAAATTCATGAAAGTGACCCTTCTCTCAACAACACGCACGTGTGACATACATTCCCAAAATACATATATTTTGCTGTAACTCGTTTGTTCAATCAATTTACTGGTCAAAGACAACAGGTTCAGAAATTTCAGTTGGAAGCAAGTCGAGATTTCGACGTTAAAAGGTTTTTTTTTTTGGTCGTTTTTTTTTTTTTTTTGGCCTCAAAAACATGCCGGCGTCTTTGTGCAAGATAAAGTCTGGAGCGTTATTGCAAAAATACTCTATCGGAAAGCCACCAATACAATACCCTTCGAATGTAAACAAAACGCGTCAAGGTTCGTGTTTGTTTTACACAGATTATGCACCGCTGTCAACCGCTATTTTAAGGACATAAGTTACTTTCAGTTACTTTGAATGCGAAATATTTCAGTCTTGTGTGGATTAAATGCTCGTCGCGCAACAGGGACAGACGATCGCAACACGTGTATGTCACGACGTCTCAAATGTCCCCAAGGAATTTAGCTTTTACATGGGGCACTAAAATTCGGAAACTTGACTGATATGCCAACCTGGCTTTCAAATGGAGTTTCCCCATTTGAATGGTGTCCAGCTAACCAGTTACATTGTTGAAGAGATGTTTTGTGACTGCGCCAAGCGGGAGAAAAGATGTTTAATCTCAAGCAGAGTTTTCATCCCGTTCGCCGCATATCTATAAACGAAATCTATGAGCATCTATAGGTTATTAAGACAGCTAATAAAAAACACATCGCTGGGTTCACTGAAGAGCCCTGCACAGATGTGACATAAAGCCCTTTTAAAGCCTTATTTCATGAATATTGCGAATCTAAAGGTCTTAATTGTAATCGTTCCTCAAGAGTTTCATAACACGCGTATAGCCTTGACATAACAGGCGTTGAAAAGAATAGGAAAAAAAAATGTTTTGAAACTCACCGTATCTTGAGCTAGTAATAGCAAGGCAACTCCCCATAAAATTCTTCTGTATGGCAAAAAAGTGATAGCCATGATGCTGTCGAACACTGTAGGCCGGTGACCTTCAAACTCGAGCTACTGGCAATCGATGGCTGTTGTTAAATTCTCACTGTGTACTAACGGCGATATTCCTGCAGAGAATCACAGATGTTAGGCAAGTTTGCGACAACCGACGCCAACGCGCACTTTGCACAGCGGAAATTGTCGCGGGTTAGGCCTGATTATTTTTAGTGCCACACATTGCATTTGTTTAGCGGGGTGCAATTCCCTCGAAGTCAAAAGCCCGATTGTGTTTCACTCACCCGATGAGTTGTTATGTTAACAAGCTAAACTGTATCCGATACGCGTTTCCCCCGAATTGCTCGGAGGACAGCGACTGAAAAGGCCGAGTAAATGATCAAATCAAGTTTGGTGCTTGACAAAAGTTTGAGAACGAGTACAGCTTAACAGAATCGCAAGATTTTAAAGCTGATATCTACTGAGAGAGGATGCTTTGTTGATAAACTAAAAAGCGTGATAAAAGCTGACGTGAGGTCAAGAGAAACTCTGTGTGACTGTCGTATAGCGGCCATTTCCGATTTCCTGAGCTGACGTAAGGAGAAAAAACTGGAGATACGCCGATAAAAGACCCAGGATGCATAACTAAGTCAGCGACTGAAAAGCAAGGTATTTGGAAAACATGACTCGAGTGGTCGCACTCAACGGCTGCCCAATAAACGCTACACACAACATAACAAACATAATCTGTAACTCCGCACCGCAAAACTACAGAGATTCACTGGATTTCACATGTAGTTCCAATCCTGGGCGTTTGGTACAAGTTCGTTCATGTTAGTTACCGAGATTAAAGCTGGCAACCCGAGTTACATTTGTTTTGGCTTTTACGTTTCACAAGTGAATTATCTCAAGTTCTTGCGCTGAAATGCCCTCGAGTTAAAATGGTTCTTCATCGTTCTCAACTCCGAACCGAGATACCGCGATAAAACTGTTCCACGAATAATATGGTTCCTGTAATCCAATTAATCACTATGTCGCACGGCGCCGATAGGTTTCCTAAAACCACAAAATAATCTGTTTTCCTTGATAACTCTTTAAACATTCCTGAATTGTGAAAAATTCCTGATGTGGGCGTCGAAGGATTGATAGATTGCACCGTGAATGCTCTCTGCTTTCAGCTATATATTTTTTTTAGCTCTTTACCGGCTCTTAACAAGTTTCAAGAATACCTTAAAACATCAACACTGAATTCTTACGATTACTGATAGATTTCCCTATTAACCTGTTTTGTGTTTACATAGTGTGATATGTCGCTTGTGTAATCAGAGAAATTTCGTCACGGTATAAATTCCCAGAGACTTCTTGTGTGGCAAAAATCATTTAAGGCCTGGAGTCTACCGTGTCAACTTTGGAACCAAAAACCTCCAGCGCAAGAACTCTCCTTCACTCATGCTGATCTTCGGTGGCAACTGCGCGATTTTTTTTAAAGGTATTTCTGTCAGAAGTGCAGACATCATCTCTCTTCGCATAGGAATGTTCGTTGAGATTAGATTAGGTAAAGTTATCAGACATACTTTTTCAAGGTCACCCTTGTCGATCTTAGGGTGAAATCACTTACCCAAATATTAGACGAAGATTCTTCGACCTGTTTAACAGCCTTGCGCAAATCATGGACTTAAGGTAAGGTGTGCGATTATGGTGGTTTTTGTTCTTAGAAGTTTGTCGCATTTCTTACGATCTGAGGCAAGTTTTGAGGCCTTTTTAAAAAAACGCCTAACAACATTTGTTGTGTTTCATCCAAGCGCAAACACTATTATCTATCACGATGTACTACTGTTATTTCAAACCATTGGTCTCATTTTGAAATTCTCTCGTGCAAAATCACGATCAGCCGATAACACATCAAGATTACCTTAAAATTTAGATGGAAACCTTTCTTATGTGACATGAAACAGCTGAGACGAACATCCTTATTTGCGGGTAACTGCCTTGTCACTTTGTTAAGATGTTGATGATTTTTGTAAGTGCATCTACGTTGTAATGCTCCTTTAAAAGTGGTTCTCATCGGTGAAGAGGGGAATCTTATAATTACTAAATGGTCGCTCTCCGCACTGGGTCTAACCCTTTGGAATTTCGTATGTCTAGGCCTAACCTTTGGGGTTCAACTAAACAGTACTTCATTAGCAACCTTTAGTTTATAAATATGACCTGTCTCTTTCCTAAAATAAAATAAATATTAAAGTTTTAAGGTAATTATCAAGCTCTTTCAATTCTAGCTTGGCTTACATGTTTCCACTTTCACTTGCATAGCAACCAACATTTTTCTTATCAGGGTCGGGACACACTGGTGACGACTCAGTGAAGGAGACAAGCCTAAACATTTTCCCAGCAAGGCAAGTGGCAGAAACAATTTTGAACATAGTTGTGGTTTACATACTTGGACGGACCCTCCCAGCGAAGAAAAAAAATGAGGAAATCTCGGACTTTACGCTCTGTTTTTGAACGAACCGACTTCGCTCTTAATTTTCGGAATTGCCAAATTTAGTATCACATGCTGCTCGCTAATTTTGCAGTTTTGTATTTTTCTAGTTGGTTGTGTCAACTTCATAATGTGAAAGCAGAAAAGGAATTTTTCCAGCCAGAGTAGACATAAATCACCGGCGATCACGAATTTGCTGCTCAACGGATAATAACTTAGCCCGGCTATGACATGGCGGAAATTTGTCTGTCAATTGTGGCAGGCTTCTTGATTGATGAGTTCTTCTTTTTTCTCCGAGTTCAGGCTCCGAGTTCAGGTTCCGAGTTAGAACTGTTAGTTCTCTAACAACGAAGAATCTTACATACCTTTTATCCTTAGAAGTACGTCCAGGCTTGCAACACGACCGTAAAATTCATTTAGTTCTACAGCCAGTTAATTCGAAATGTTTCTCCCGGAGCCGCAACTAGATCTTTTCTCGCCAATTCATTTGATGAAAAAAAATCTCAGCCACTCGGGTCAACTGCTAATTCCGTTACAAACAAAAGACTAAGAAATAGGATATTATGGCGCCGCGTATGGCAAATTGGTGCCCGGTGATTGGCTAGCTGTAACCGAGGATACGGATGACAAAAAATGGTGCAATGGGAGGGGAGAGTGAGAAGGAAGAGGGGTGGGGTGGATTTCTTGTACAATGGACTCTAGAAGTTTATCGAGGGTCTCACGTTCATGCAGAAGTCTTCTTGCTTCTTTTGCACAAAATTTCATTATCATCTGGCATACATCAGGATGTAAAACTTTGATCATATGACCATGAATAATTTTTAGGAATTCTACTCTAGTCCAGACCAGGCCAACATAATATTACACACTAGGAAAAAAAAATTAGGAAGTATGGCACACCTACAGGGAGCTATCAACGAGTAAAAGAGCTCTTCGCTGCCTTTAATTCATGACTGTCACACCGTGTCTAATAACACAACGATCTGTTTGTCAGCAAGCGAATGTTCAGGTGAAGGCGACATTACAGCCCAAGGTCCCTCAGGATGATCTACTCATTACGCATTCCCAAAGAATACCTCAACCCATGTTATTTAGGATCATAATCGAACCCCGGAATTATCTCGTGACCTACCTGTGCATGGTAAAAAATCTACATGATGCAAGGACATTACCAAATAGCTTTGATTTGAGTCGTCAAAGAAAGTAAATTGAGAGGTTGTCGAAGTTCGACTCAATTCCTGAACGAAAGGTGTAACGCGAATCCAAAGTTCACAATAACTTTGTTTTCATCGCTTGAATGGGCAATCGAACTCTAAACCGGAACTGCGGACTATTTAGTGATAGGAGACAGTTTACAAACATTCCTTTGCTTGAAAACCTACGTCAAGATGGTGTCTCGTTTCGTATCATTTATGTCCTGGATTTCAGTGTGTGGCCCATAATTGCTAGCTTTAAGAGCTGAGTATGGCAGTACTATTGCTGAATTATAGGGGCTCGTAGATTACTGTGAACTTAAAAGGGATTCAGTTTTTCTTTTTACGAAACGTAAAATTTATGTCAAATGGTGTTATTAGCTCAAGCTACGAACATTCTGTTGATCCGAGTGACTTAATGAAGCTACGAAGTGTATTTTCCCGTTCGTTCGCGTCGAATTTTTTTTCCTTCAGCGAGTTTAGATGTCTCCCTTCCGAAATATAATGACTATTGATTGGGGTAAGAAAAACGATAATGCAATAACTATTCGAGATCTGGTTGTTTTATGGAAAAGCACTATCGTGACTTTTTGCGACGACGAAAAGTAACAATCATTCAAGTTAGATTAACCCTCTTCAAATGATCAATGAAGATACGTCGACGTGTGAAGAGGGTCCTTGAAGTACAAGCGCGATAGTTCGGACTCAAAAACATTCAGCTCTTTGTCAGCCTCTCCAAGAACCAAGTAACAAAATGTGATACAGTATTGTTACTAGGCAGTCCGTAATTACTAAATAAACTTTATTCCAAGATAATTAAAATAATGAAGCATATCGAAACTAAATTATGCTTTTGAAATTGCTAAAATTCTCGTGTCAAGTTTCAAAGGTTGACAGGAATTCACCCTTCGTTTTTTTGCCAATGTTTACCTTTAAGAATTTTTTTCGTTATCTTGTTAATATCTGTCAGCAAAGGTAATGATAACTTTCGCAATCGGTCGTATGAAACTTTCGCGAAAATTTCTTGTTTTACGGTGATTGTTCCCAAAGCCTTCGGAAAGCTAGCCAAGCGCTTATCAACAGTTTGCTTTTTTAAGGGTTTTCTACATCTAATAGAATTTCCCGGAATTTGTAATTTCGTTTCCGAAGTATAATTTATCTTCGATAGGGCCTACTTTTTACTGTAGTTTCTTGTGTACTCTTTCGCTCTTTTAAAACACCCGACTTATGTTTTTTGTATTTTAAACGTATCAAGGGTTGGTAAGAGTCCATACACATGCGTTAGGTACAGTTTATTACTGTCTAGCCACAGGAGACCCAAGGAAAAGAGGGAGTCGTTGCTTTTTTCAGGAAATTGAATATGGAGTGTGGTAGGAAACTAAAGGATACATTCTAAAGCGTTCAATTTGACAACCTTGTTAAGATTAGCCACCCTTGAAAGACAGCCTGCTGGGTCAAAAAACACAAAACAAGATTTAAAAGAAGCATTAAACACGAATTGAACAATAAGGGGCCGACCATTTACCTTTTGAGGGGGGGGGGGTTATTTTGAAGGAAAATTTCCTGCAAGCGCTTGTTGGAAGAAAAAGATTGCATGCAGCCCAAATGTAACAGAAAAAATGTACAAAAAAATCGGAAAAAAATATCCTGCACAGCAGAAAAAAATTTCTTGATGACCAGCAATCACCCACCCCCCCCCTCCATCAAAAGTTAAATGGTCGGCCCCTAATGTATTCAACTGGAATAGATACGACGATCGAATCTGTGTTAAGTGGTCACCCACTGAGAATGGTGGGATGACCGCTAAATACAGTTTCTACAAATTAGGGATATTACAAAAAAGGAGACAACGCCACTTAATGTACAGAATCGTGCTCAAAAATACAAATTACTTTGATTTGGGGAGAGAAACATTGGTTAAACGTTACTTGTTTTATTGAAGTGCAAGGCATTACAAACAAGCCTTTGGAACTTAGCGAAGAGTTACGGCGAACGCTAAATAGAGGTGAAAAATACAGTGATTAAGGGGAAACAAAGTCGAGACTTCAGTGATCCACCGCTTAATACAGGGTGGCGACCCAAGATGGTGCCGCTCCACTATAGTTGTAAGCCTACCAAATGAAATAATTTTTTGCTGAATCAGATTTGTTTTGTGTCTTGCAATTTTAGAAATCACCTTTGCAACATTTCATGCTCTTAAACTTCCGGCTTAGCGGACGTTAATTCTTAGTTTTCCATTGGTGAAAATAGAAATTCATCTCTTAAAGAGCTTTGCGTCCGTGCTATACCAGGATCTCTGTAATCCGCTATGAATCATAAAAGATTTCTGTTCCGCCCGTTTCAATCTTCTGCAATATCTTATACATGTGTTAATGCGCCTGGTTAAGCCCAACCCACGATCAGGCGCTCTTTTTTCTCTCTCTCTCTCTTCTCGGGAGCCCGACAGTGCAGGAGCACAAAAATCCTCAGCTAGGGATAGAGACCCCGCCTGCCCTCCTTTGCTCTTCAATTTTGCACTCCCCCGAAAAAAAATCCTGATCAGAAGTAAGGTCCAGCCTGAGTTGAGTATCGTTATCCGACAATTTGCTTCTAAGATAATTGAACATAATTCATAACAAGGTCAACATTGATTAAAAAGGGTGGCCCTTGTACCACTATTTATTAACCTATACACCATTAATTGATGTGTATTTACAGGTATTGCACGCAATGTGTTCTTACGTAACAAATTTATTGATATTTCAGTGAAATCAACAGATGATCGAGCCTAAGATAACGGATTTATCATGGACACCAATTGGTAAATTATCAAGTATGATTGATTTCATTCTCAAATAAATCCAATAAAATCGAATTGATAAGGGCGTCGCATAAACAGATGACGCAGATCCCAAGCACGATTCGTAAGAATGGGATCATTGCTCTTTCGCGTCATTTCGCGCCTTCCGAGATGGAGTTTTCGATCTCCATGGCAACCTTTTAAGTATATATTTGTTTAAATAAAGGCAGGGCGTGGAACAATGTCATTTTCCTTGATAATGCATGCATGCAGCACTGCACGAACTCGTAGGATGTGGTAATTTGTTTGGCTCGTCGTCTGTGCTATTTTGGTGCCCTAATAAGTCTAATGAACAATCGATTCAGTCGTAAGATGCTTGGTTAGCTTTTAAAAATTTGTTTATTTAAACCGGATTGTAGCGTTCTGTTCATCAATGCGCGCATAACAGTCCATGTTTGGGCATATTATGGAGGACTTTGACCATTTGGCAAGACAACTTTAATACGTCCTTGTGCTAATGGACACATGTGTTTGTTGTATGGCTTAGAATATCCACTTGGTTATATTGTGACAGGGATTTTGCGGCTGCTCCGTAATCCCGGCCAGTAAAAACAGAAAATACACTCTAATTTCGTGACAAATGACCCGCTTTCTTCAAGTAAGTACAAAGTCACTCCATTAAACAATTCCTAATTTTCTGACTCCCTTTTCTCAAACATTTTTCAGAAATTAGATGAACTCGAACAAAGCCTGATGAGCTAAGCAATTTGTCGCGATCGAGCTCAAAAAGGTGGATTTAAAGATTTGATAAGGCAAACCCGAAAATTATCGTTAAGTCTCTATTGATCCACTTAAAAAAATTTAAAAAATACAGGGCAGAGTGTTTCTTACCTGACAACAAGGAAATACTGTAGTTGTCCTCGACCGTTCAGAATTCGTAAACGACACTTGTGTACTTATGGACAGTAGCAGACCACTGCCGAAGAACTCAAGTCACAGTGACAGACACAGGACAAATGCATCTGCTTGAGACCAAAACGAGAACAAGTTAGCTATTGTGACCAATGAAAGGATATGTCTGTCGCCACTTAAAATTAAGCTAATTCGATGTCTAAACCCTTATTAGCATTTTCGTGACTTTCTCGGATCCCCATTGGACCACAATCTTTCCGTCTTTAAGACTTAGAAAGGCTCGTGTGTGTTGCAAAATTCTCCGACTCCAGGATGGTGCTACTGAAACTCTCACGAAGTTTCAGTCTTTCTGTACCGTCTGAAGAGACTGTTTTAAGTGAAAAGTTTCGAAATGCCGGGCTACCTTTTCTATAAACCCTCTCACTGCCGTGTTTGTGAATGTTTTTTTTTTCTAGAGATAAGTTTTTTGAACTTAGTGTTAATTTCGTAACCTTCCAGAGCCACTTATCGAGTGATTATCGGAAAGCTGGTTTATAGACGGCTTCTTTCATATTTTTTTTCGACGTTAATTCGGTTTATGCGGAAAAATCCGCTGGCACGAAGCAAATCTCGTCGTTCGACTGACAAGGTATTATTTGTCTGAAATGTAGCGAGCATTTATTCAATCCGTTGCTCTAACTGACACTTTCTATTTTCCGTTTTGAAATAAGCTGAAAAATACACGAATTTTGTTTGGGAATTGTTTTTTTTTTCCCTACCTCTGCATTAGAGGACATACTTTGAGATGACGTCACCATTAAGAAAATTTCGCTTCTTTAATTGCATTATACAAACAGATTCCATTTTTCCGTGCGTTCGTGCAGTAATAAAGGGGTTGTAATGTGGTAAGGATATCAGTGACACGCTCAGCTACGCCTCGCGTGCAACTCTTTTTTTTCTTACTACATCTTCACTTCAACTTTGATCTATCACGAACAGACGCACGACAACATGGAATCTATTTGTTAATTCCCAATTTGCTGACCTTTCGTTTAAATTGGTTTGTTGTTTTGAGGCAGTCTCTCACTGCTGAATATTCATTTCTGCTTTGTTTTTTGCTTGCTTGAAAATATATAACGATTAAAAAAAAGAATTAAGAGATTGATCACTCGTGAAGTCTAGGGTTTAAACTGTACATGCGGAACATGGAGATTGAAAGAACTCGCATGGTCACCTAACTCTACCTACCTCCCCTATGGCCCTAAGCCTGCGTGCAGATTTGAGCCGAGTCGGGGAGAGGTTTGCTGAGGGACTGGCGCTAATTATGGGTGCTAGGCCCAATGCAGACATTTCGCGGACTCACGTTGCTCAAGGCAACATTATTTTCTCGCGGACACCATACTTTCCAGCGGGCAAAGAAACGCTCATCCTGAAGCGTTGATAACGAGCCCCTGCTCACAGCCTAAATTTCTCATTCCTAACAAGCGAGTACACTGGCGCACACGTGTAGCCAACAACCAAGTCAGGATATGCGGCTTAGTTTTGACGATTACCGTGTCGGAAATGATCAGTACACACCTAAAACCGTTCGTATTCAGCAAACAATAACCGCAAGCGGATGCAGAACTAATTTCATCAATTAAGCACTAAAAAAAAAAGGAGATACGGAAATTTTTGAGGATGTGTGAACATGGCTTTCGTGAATTGTGAGAGTTTGTCAGCGAAACACCAACAATCTTCTTAAAGTTAGATTTTCTGATTGCTATTCCAATGTATCTCCTACCTGAGAACATGAGTTCATAGCCTCTTGATCTCGTGCGAAAAACCGTAGCGGATTAAGGATGGACAACACACCCGCAAGAGGGATCAAAAACGTTTCTGAAACAAAGTATTTTCTAAGGATAATACTTGCACGCAGTTTGGTGCATTTCGTTTAACCATCTGCTAGCGGACATCTATAATAGACACTATAAGGCTTCTAACGAAATAGTTAGAGACTAGTTTTGTACTAAACAACAAATATTTAACTGATGTCGCTCATCACATGAAAACGACATTAAAAATCTTCACAATAATTAAGGATATTTTGTTGGTAGATAATCCTTTGTCTTGTTAGACGGACTCAGACCCCATGCTAGATTTCCTTTGATGCCGGGTCTTTAAGGCGGAAGTTCTCTCAAAAGTGATCTTATCCGATCAAAAAATCTTGATTTTCCTGGACCTCCCGGTGTACTAAAACTCTTGAGACACGTACACAAAGTAACCGTTTAATTCCTTTAAAGCTCAATCGTCTGCACGCCGGTGACCAGGGACCTCCTCATAGTCCTTAGAGCGAAACACGCTTTGTTGATCGGAGCTTTTCGCTTTCGTGGTATCGAAGCACTTTCTGGAGCACTAAGGAATGCTCCAGCATTTACTCTTATTGTAATTGTATCAATCACTTCTTCGTCTTCAGTGCTATGTTTTCCGACTGATTTAGTGCTTCCATTTGTGCTCTTGAAAAACTAAAGCCGGTTACGAATTGTAAATAAATTCAGCAGTACTAGTGTAAAGCCTAGACATCAGATGATTTAGAAATTTAAGATGACACACACATGATACATCAGCCAATCAGAAACTTCTGTTTTCACGCTCAGTAGGAATAAGTCAGTTTTTTCTTTAAAATGTTTTAGAAGACATGTGTTGCTCGAAATTTGCTCGAAATGTGAAATATTGCTTAAATGTTGCCCAAAGTGCGAAAAAGTGCTTAAGGGTGCTCAAAATGCAAAACAGTGCCCAAACTAAATAAAGTGCTCAA